ATAAATAAATAAATAAATAAATAAATAAATAAATAAATATACATATACACATATATATACATATATATACATATATAAACATATATAAACATATACATTTATATCTTATATCTTTCTTACTTCTTTGTTTTTTTGTCTGATTAAAAACATTATTTTATTTATTTATCTACAACAATATACATACATATAATACATATACATATATATATATATATATATATATTAATTTATAAATATATATATATATATATATTTGTTTAACAATGTTAGGTAAGGATACTGGAGTCAATGAGTGCATACGACAGATTAAAATTAGCAGATGCGCTGAAGACTGAAGAATATACAGACGGCGAATATATTGTTAGGCAAGGAGAGCCTGGTGATGTTTTCTATCTAATTGAAGACGGCTGTGCTGTCGTCTATAAACACTCTAAAGATCAGCCGGAACCCCAGCATATCGATACCTATCATGTAAGCCTCGTCCCCTTATTTATTATTATTATTAGGGTTTAGGGTTTAGGGTTTAGGGTTTAGGGTTTCAAACGGATTCCAATGTGGCCTCTATTCATTTATTATATATTATATATATAATTATTATAATATATATATATATATATACATAAATAACAACATATATATAAACACATATGAGCGTATAAACATATATATAAACATATAAGCTTATACATAAGCACATATATATATATATATACATATATATAATATACATATACATATATTATACTATATATATATTATATTTATATTATTATATTTATATTTATATTATTATATTTATATTATTATATTATTATATTTATATTAATATTATTATATTTATATTGTTATATTTATATTCAGCCTGGAGATTACTTCGGAGAGTTAGCTTTATTAACCGGCGATCTGCGTGCGGCGAGTGTAGTTGCGAAAGGCAGCTGTCGTGTAGCTGCATTAGAGCGAAAGTCTTTTAAGAGGCTGTTAGGGTCAGTACAGGACTTGCTTAAGAAGAAAGCGCTTGAATATCAGCAATAATTTCATCTATTTACTTCTATCTATCTATTTCTGTATCTATATTTATATGTCGCTACTTGTACATGATTGATATATTTATTTAGATGCATATACATGTATTTGCAGATCTATATAAATGCATTTATATATATATATATAAATATATATATATATATATATATATTGTAGATATTAATGCATATAGATATATATATAGATATATAATATATATATATATGCATGCAGATATATATGCGTGTAGATATATATGCATGCAGATATGCATGCGTGCATGTAGAAGAAGCATGTAGATATATATTTGCATGCATGCATGCATGCATGCAGATATCTACAGATATATCTACATGCATGCATCCATGCACAAGATATACATACATCTGCATGCATGCATGCACGCAGAAGATATATATGCATCTGCATGCATTTGCCGCAGCAGCAGCAGCAGCAGCAGCAGCAAATAGCACTACGTGGTTGAGGGTTTTGCTGTCTTTTATTTTCTTCTGCCTATCAAAAGGACTATTAAACAGATTGTTTAGGGTTTATGCAAACCCTAAACCCTAATAAACCCTCATTAGTAAACCATTTAAAGCCCCACAAACCTACGAAAAACCCTCCTAACCCTAAACCCTAAACCCTAAACCCTAAACCCTCATTAGTACTTGCCGACAGAGTATACAGGTGAACAGGAATTAGGGTTTAGGGTTTTAGCAAGGCTAGGGTTTATTAGGGTTTTAGGGTTTAGCGAATAATGCGGATAGGGTTTAGGCTGTACTGAATAAAGGGGTTTGTTTACTAGGGTTTAGGGTTTAGGGTAGAGTCGGAACAAAGAAAAAATATTAGAGTAGAGAGCCGCATAGACAAAGATGAAGAAAACAGAGCTGTTAGCAGCTACTCTCTGTCTCTCTTTGTTTATCTGTCTCTCTCTGTCTCTCTTTAGGATTATTTGTTTGTTTATATTCGCTGCTCTTTCTTTACCTCTCTTTCTAACTCTATCTATCTATCTATCTATATATCTATGCGTCTATATGTAGATATATATAAACATATATAATATATAATATATAATATATAATATATAATATATAATATATAATATATAATATATAATATATAATATGCATATATCTTTTTATCTAGCTGTCTCTCTTTGACTTGTTTGCTGCTCTTGTTTCTTCGTTCATCTCCGCAACTCCAACTCAAACATACCTCTAAACCCTAAACCCTAAACCCTAAACCCTTAATTCTAAACGCTCAGGTGTATGAAGTATTTAAAACTAAACATAGACGAAAAATATAAAAGGAGACGCACAAATTGCTGCATGCGCCAACCGGGGCAGAGAGACAGTTTATTTTGTTTTGTTTGTATTTATTTAATTAATTAAATTTATTTAGTTAATTTAATTTAATTTAACTTTTTTATTTATATTAGATATTATTTACTTTGGGCCGCAGCTCTAAAGAACAGCGACAACTTCAAAACAAACGCATGCAAACCGCCTCGCCTATACACCCAAACTTAGATATATTTATATATATTAATATATATATATATATTAATATATATTAATGTATATATATATATATATATATATATATCTTTCTGCAGAGATATATAATGCATATATATACATCCATGTCGATATATACATATATATAAATGTATATATATA